GGGCCAAGCAGTCCTCCACAGTCCTGTCTAGCACGCACATCCGGTACCTATCCCAACAGGATCCTCAGGGGAACCTTGGTGTAGAGTTATGGTTCGCAAGGGACGTTCCATTTGCATGGCAGGGCAATACTGCTTGGTATTTCGCTCCTGAAGACTTCAGGGTTCTTCTTGCAGAGCCGAGAGCCTTGTTTGTCCGCTTTGTCAGGCAAAACCTCCGTTTTGTTGCAGCTGTTGTCCATGCACCAACTGCACAGGACCCAGGTAGAGTGAACTGGTGGAAGCACCTTCAGAACCGCTTATGCACCAGTGCTAGAGGCGACAACGTTTTGTTGTTTGGTGACATGAATGCCCGCCTGATTGAACCAAAGGCAGGCAGGGTCGGAGACTTAGTGTTTGAAAAGGGTCCGGGACCACCCGACTCCCTGCTGCACATCCTCGAAGCACATGACCTGTGGTCACCGTCTACCTTCCCTGACCTCCACCCTGGACAATCTTGCACTTGGATTTCTCCCGGGGGGGGAACCGCCTCAAGGATCGATTTCGTCTTTTTGCCCACAGCCTGGTGCGTTGCTGCTGGAGCATCCAGGGTGCTAAATGACATTGACTTTGGCCAAGCTGGGATTGATCACTACGGTGTTCAGGTTGAAGCTTCAGTCCGCTTGTCGGCATTTTCCCGATCAAGCTTTTCTAAGCCCCGCATTGATGTAGCAAAGCTTCACCAGCCAGGGGCCCAAGAGGAGCTGAACCGCATCTGCTGCTCGTTGCCGCATGTGCATTGGCAAACCGATGCTCACACGCATTATGATATCATTGCTGAGCATCTCACGACAGCCCTCGCGCAATCCTTCCCTGCCCCGCGAACTAAGTGCCGTCGCACTTTTTTCAGTGACACGACATGGGATTTGCGCCAACAAAGGGTTGAGTGTCGCAGGCAGCTCACAAAAGCACTCACCCGACTCAGAGTTGCTGAGCTTGGCTGTGCATTTGCCAGTTGGAGAAATGGCTACCGTTTTGCCAGGGTTCTCCTTGCTCAATTTGCCGGGATTTGCAGGAGCACCTTTACTGCAGCACAAGGCATCGGAGATCTTCGGAAACTCCAACCTTGTCTAAAAAAGGCCATCCAAAATGATCGTAGGCAGTATCTTTCGCAAGTTGCGAGCCAAGCAGCAGCTTCCACAGTCAAGGACACTGTGACAAAGCTGAGGCCTCTTCTTGGTCCCCCCAGACGGAAAAGTCGTGGCACGCAGGCGTTGCCCATGATTGAGCTCGAAGATGGAACGATCGCACCAGACAGGGTCTCAGCAGATCAGAGGTGGTTACGGCACTTTAGTGAGATAGAGGACGGTGGCCCAGTGCAGGTTGCCGATCACATCAGAGCCTGCCTAGATCGCCAAGCTGGGCATGATCTTGAATGTCTGCAGCTGCTGCAGAGGGACGTTCCATCCCTGCTCGACGTTGAGAAAGGGCTTCGCTCTTCAAAGAGTGATCGGGCCATCGGAAATGATGGGGTGCCTCCTGACGTCCTTCACCTTCAGGCATCTGGCCTTTCCAAAGAGATCTATAAGATCTTCTTGAAGGTTGCAATGCGCTTGCAAGAACCCCTAGCGTGGAAGGGGGGGTCATTACACTCTCTGTGGAAAGGCAAGGGCAGTCAGACCTCTTGCAGCAGCTATCGTGCCGTCCTTGTGAGTAGCTCAACAGGAAAGGCTATTCACAGTGTCTTCAGGGGCAAGTGCGCGCCACTGTTAGACACTGCATGCACCACCATGCAAGTCGGAGGTCGCAAAGGACAGCCTGTTCAAATCGCCACGCACGCAGTGCGTTGCTTCTTGAGTGCCTGTGCCAGAAAGAAGCTTTCGAGCGCGCTCCTGTTTGTTGATCTGCGCGAAGCATTTCATCGGGTCGTGCACCCACTTGTGCACGGGGGCCCGCTGAATGACCACCACGTTGCGGGATTGGTTAAGGAGCTTGGCCTGCAACCAGAGTCTATCCACAGACTGCACGCATACGTCAAGGAACGCTCCCTTATTGAGGAAGCAGGTGCGTCGTCTTGGACCGCAAGCATGATGCGTGAGTTCCAGACTGATGCTTGGTTCACGCTCGGGGCTTCTCCTGACATTGCTGCTGTTAGGGGTGGAACGCGTCCGGGCGACAGCCTGGCAGACATTGTTTTCACTTTCCTTTTCGCCGAGGTGTCCCACCGCATCCGGGCAGCCTTCCAACAAGCAGACATTCAGGTTCAGATCCCCTGGAAGCCCCAGTGGTTGTGCTCTAGTGAAGCAGTTGGCATAGACGATGCCGGAACTGCGTCACCAGTCGACGTCACATGGATGGACGACCTGTCTGTGCTCATTCAGGCCAAAAGCCCAGCCAGCCTGATTGAGAAATTGAAAATCGCCGCCACAACAACCGTCGACCAATGTCTACAGGCAATTCTCTTACCCAACTTGCGAGCCGGCAAGACCGAAGCAATTGTCAGCTTTCATGGGGCAGGCACCAAGACCATCGGGTCTGAGCTCTTCAGAGGAGATTGTCCCACCCTCGCGCTTGAGTCGCAGCTATGGCCTGATGCCCGCCTACGATTAGTTGCCTCGTACAAACATTTAGGCGGCATCGTCCATGCGGGCGGCAACCTTAAAGCCGAGCTGAAAGCGCGGATAGGTTCAGCCTGGGCTGCCTTTGCCAAGCACCGCAAAAAGATTTTTCATTCACCTGTGGTGCACCCGAAGGAGAAAGCTGTGTTGTTTAGCAGCCTCGTTGCATCGACACTCTACTATGGTAGTGGAACCTGGTCCGGAATCCCTCCGAGTGGCATTGGCAGGATCCAGCACTGCCTAGTCAGCATGGCCAGAGGCATGCTGCGCCCCCGCTTCAATTTCGAGGAAGCCTGTCATCTTGGACATCTGTATGTGCTTGCACATGCCAGGATTCCCACTGCCCTCACATCGTTGCATACAGAGCGGTTACGCCACTTGAAGGCGACGGTGATCAAGGCTTCTGATGAACTGTGGGCTCTGTTGCATTACGAAGTCACCTGGCTTCAAGACGTGCAAGAGTCCCTCCAATGGTTCAGGGGCCAGCATGCGGTCTCGCAATCGTGTCTACCACAATGGGGATCTTGGGAGGGAGTCGTTGCCTTCATCAAAGCCTTCCCCAACCGCTGGAAAGCAGCTGTCAACAAGGCATGCAGCACTGCGATGCTGCAGGAACTCTGGCAGGCCGAAGTTCGCCAATTTCACGGCCTAGCGTACCGGAGCTTTGTCAGTGCAGGAGCAACTGTGCCCTCTGAGCTTGCAGATTTTGGGACTACAGATGAAATTTGTGCAATTTGCCAAACTGTTTTTCCTGACCTGCGAGCTTGGTCACATCATGCTTTTAAGAGGCATGGCCGACGTAATCCTGTACGTTTTTTGGCAGCAGGCTCACAGTGCATTGTTTGCATTAAACAGTTCAGGTCGAACAAAGCACTCTGTAACCATCTTGAACATAGCTCTAGTTGCCGTCACGCCTTGATGAATGCGGGAGTTCATTTTGAGCCTGAGCCTGGCACTGGCAGCAAAAGGTTCAAGGATGGTAGCAAAGTTTTGCTTCCTGCAGTGCGTGCGTGTGGGCCCGAGTTCCTGTGGGATTACACACCTGCCATCGACGAAGCATACCAGCCTGACTTGAGCATTCTCGCTGCACTTGAGGATTGCTTCTGTCATGATGAGCTGCAGCACACCAGCTGGCATGGCTTGCTTGAGCATGTTCGGCAGATTTTCTCGCAGGTTTGTCTGCAGCAAACCAGGCTCAGAGCCACTGCTACTCAGTGGGCCAATCAGGTCGAGGAGGCCCTCGCAGATGATGAATCCATTTCAATTCAGTGGGCCTCTCTGCACAGAAGGCTCGCTCGCATTCTTCCTCAGGTTGACTTCGTCGCTTGGTTAGGAGTTGAAGGATCTGCTGCGGTCCAGGCTACTTCGACTTTCAGGGATGCCGAACTGCTGTTACCTTGGCTGGAGTTAGACGCTGTCCAGTTTGAGGTGCCTCAGCGCGTTCTACGGCCAGGTGTGCGCATTGCGGCATGTCCCAAACAACACACCTGGGCGCCCAGTGGATTTGATAGGGAGCTCTCACACGAATCATGCATTCAAGAGCCTACCCTGCTTGAGTTTGAGCGTTGGCAACTCCTCCAGGGGGGGACTGATTTCCTCTTCTGTTCCTGTGTTGGACTTGTCTCCACTCTTCAGGTACCGAGCCCCATCAAGTCTTTCAAGAGCATCGAGCCCTCTTTGTGTCGTCTGAGACTTTTCTCCGACCTTGTCCGGGGTGTCTTTCTGATGTGGAGGTTTGGAGTGCCTGCTGGCATTGCCATCCCAAAGATCTCCTGCAATGCGGTAGAGGTCGTTCGCAAACTAGCGCCCTTCTGTTGGCACATGTCCGACTGCGAGTTTTTTGCGAACTTTGACATCAGTTTGTGCACTCCCGGGGCTTTCACCCCTTAAATTAAGTGCAACCGAAACCGGCTGCGTCTAACTCAGACACAACGCCATGAAACAGCGAAACAGCGATATATATACACATGAATAGAAAGAGAGAGAGAGAGAGAGAGAGAGAGAGAGAGAGAGAGTTGACTTGCATAGGAACGCACAACTACAGAGGCAAGCACAGCAATATCCTACTCTACCACCTACACCACGAGTCCGAAACTCCGGAGCTGCAACGGCATGGCAACAAATCCGCTCTAAGTTTGGGGTTTAGGGCTTAGATGTCGTGGACGGGGATGTATTCTTGGTTCCGAGTCTAGGGTTTTAGTTTAGGGTTTAGGGCGTCGATGTAAGGTAACAACTACCTGCCTAAAATTTCAATCATACTAGGCAGGAGTCGACGTTAAGGACTCGAAAGCCCTAAACGGTGATTACCTCTTGTAGTCACCATACACCAAGTCTCGAATCAATAACCAAACCAACTACTCCCTATACCCAAAGTCCGGAACATGATTGCTTTACTCTCCGAGGGACAGCGCCGCCGGGACCGCTGAGGCGGGATAGAATGGAAGATGCGTCAGAACCTGTAGGTCGCTGGTAAGTCAAGGTTCCTTAAGACTACCTGGACACAAAAGAACCTACCTGGTTAGGATTCCTTATCATGATTTCCTTCTATTTGTCTTTAGAAAAGGTAGGTGCTTGATTCAGGGTCCAGGTACGGTTCAAGGTTTCAGGGTCCAGGGTGTAAGGTTTAGGGTTGTATCGGGTGTTATTAAGTATTCCTCGAGGCCCGTGTACTTGTGTGGTCTATGCTTTTTTCAGGGCAGTTCTTCTAGGGGCTTCTATTGCGTGCTACATGGGTACATGGAAGCTTCCGCACGTATATGCTCGGCATAGTATCCCCCAACCCAAGCCCTCACAAATCACAAAGATGCACACAAACTTCGAACAGCTCAACCCTCCACCCTAACCCGCAAATGCGATTTCCAACACCGAGGCGCCAAATCATGCCAAATCCTGATTATAAATCCCAAACCCTAAACCTGTTGGCCTCCGGATGTTATACTGCATTCCTCCCAGGCTTCTTTGAAGGGTTGCTAGACGGGGCTATTATAAGGCTTCTATGGTGTATGTGTACCTATATCAAAAAGCCCTATAAGGAATAGCACTACGAATTAACTCAAGCCCCCCCCCTACATCACTACCTTTATTGTCACTTTAGGCATGTCTGTGGGGGTCCAGGAGCTCAGCACGGCCCACGATTCATTGAAGACCGTTGCCATGCAAGCTAGCTCAGTGCTTCTAATTCAAGTTCGGCAAGACTAGCCGCCCTAACAGCAACAAGATATGGGTGGTTGTCAAAATTATGGTCCCTTGTTGGGCACCCTAAATAATAGGTGCCGTATAATAATAGGGATCCAAAAAGACACTATAATTTCACAACCACCCATGGACTCCAAAGTAGATCCGTGCAATCAGGAAGTCAGGCGGCAATCGTCTGATCGCCGGTTCTTCGCGCAGCAGCGAGCTCCTCTCTCCATGGTCGTGCTTGGATTCGGTGTGGGGAATAAGGTACCCCAAGGCTCAAAATAGCCCAAAATTCTTATATAGTATGGTCCTTGGGCCCAAAAGCCTTAAAGTCTGAGTCCTCACAGGCTAAGGAGTAAAGTTGAGCAGTCTATTGTTGAGAGGGGGAGCGAAAGTGCTGAGACTTGGGTCTGGAGTCAAACACAGGGGAGAGAGAGCCTTGTCTATCAGGATAACACAACCAGGCGCTGTATCCCCAAACCAGTAAATTTGAAACCGGAGTCCATGTTACTGACACCCTATAAACCCTGAACCCTAAAGTTGCTCCATGCGCTTGAACCACTGCGAGCTTCTATATGGGGGTTTCCGAATGTAGATCCCTGAAAGTAACCCTTTAAAGGAACCCTAAGGTACTGCGGAAACTCCCATATCTCATACAACAGATGCTGGCAATCGGTCCTCGCGCATCCACTGCAGCTGCTCCGACTTGATCGCACCTTGCGAGGGCTTGGGTCCAAGGGGAAAAGGAGGGACCCTTAACGGGGACCCCTAGGTTTATACCCTTAATATAGCTATTTATATACCCATTATATAGCCCATTGTAGGGTAGGGGTCCCCATTAAGGGTCCCTCCTTTTCCCCTTTGATTGGGCGGAACGCTGCTCTGGGTGTTTACGATTTGCTCTCATCTCAGTTCACGAGTGCAGTGATAGCACTACAGGCCCAATGCACATTGCAGCCCCTACTCCGATACACTTCCGTGAAAGCTACACCCTTCAAGCCCTGAAGCCCTCAAACCTAAGTCCCTAAGTGCTGAAATCCCTGAGCCCCTGCACCCCAAGCCCCCTCGAAAAACGCCGCAGCTTTAACACGCCTGCCATAGGAACAAAGCGCTTCTCCAAGCCTTGCAGGCCCGCCTGAGCTCCCAAAAATGGAGTGGTGTCTCGTGTATGTAAGTAAGCATGTATGTATGCATGCATGCGTGGGTGGGTGGGAGCGTGTGCATGAGTGTCTGTCTCTCTGTATGTATGTAGGTAGGTACATCCGCATGTCATTGCAGGTATGAAGGTAGTGTGTACAAATAAATGTACTGATATATGTATGTATGCAGGAGTGTGTGTATATATATATATATATCTACATATGTATGAACCCACGTATGCCTGCTTCGTACCCGTTAAGGTCTTCGTTTATACATGGTTTGGGCTTCTGAGTTTTGGAGTCTGTAGATTGCATTGAAGGCTTCCCCAACAGCGCAACATAGCCCCAAAAGATCACAGACAGTTTGGCATTAATGCTCAAGCACTTGAAAATTTTTGGTGGAGAGTATGATACTGAGATCCTTCAGGCCTACAGCATTTCAGAGCTGCCTGATTTCAAGGTCCGCATGGCGATCGTTAGCTTTGACTCGTTGTCTCTACGCTGCAAGACATCGAAAGTTTGGACGCCTGATCAGAAAACCGGTTTAAGCTACCGTAAAACGGTGGTGTTATGGTATAATTTGCTGGGTATGGTAGATTTAACCAATTTCGCAAATCGTGAAAATTCCTGCTAAGCCGTCAAAGATCTGAAGGCACCCTACGCTCTAGACCCCTTCATGGTAGCTTAGGCTTTTCTCCCCAAGGAGAACCCAGCAGTGTTTCGGGCGTTGGGACTTCGGCGGGCCTTGGGGTGAGGATCTGCGGCTGATCACAACGAGCTTAGGTCAGGTTTAGGGCTTGGGTTTTTGGGAGTTCATGGTCTTGAGGAGCCGTTTCGAATAGTGTTGCAGCTCGAGAGGTTTGGTTTTGGTTGCCAGGGGCTGGAAGTATTAGACTAGGGTCTTCAGTGTTGAACAACATACCCGCAGTCTCCATTGTAGTTCCCCTTTGGGACACCCCAGAGGATCTGAAATATACAATCGGTTAAACCAAAAACTTAAAAAGTAACTATAATGGAGACTATAGCTAGTTTGTAACCGCAAGGAGCCCTAAAGAATACTATTGCTACTTATTAGGATTCTGCGTTGCACCTGCAACCATTTTGGAGGGTATTGCAGAAGAACGGAAACTCTAAACCCAACCACAAGCCTTCTAAACACGATAAACACCCCTATAGAACCCTTAGAGAAATCCACAAAGAGGCCTCATCAAGCTGCATTCCGATTCTTAAGGCCCAGGCCGGCATTAGCTTTTTCAAAGAGCCAGGCCACTGCGAGGTCGACGGTGCCCCGCGGCGCGCGCAGGTCGTTGGGGTTGTACTTGCTCAGGTACTCGATGCCCTCGAGTGCTCGCGTTGGGGCACTGGGTACAGGGCTCAGGGTTTCCACTGTTTGAAGAGCATAGTCCGGTAGAGAACCGGGTATAGGGTTTGTGGCGAGGTTTATATTACGGTGTATACTCTCGGAAAATGTAGGGGCTTTGCGTTTACTGACTTGGCAGCTTATGTTGGTGGGCTGTGTATTAGAGTTCAGGGCTTACAAAACCCTAGGAAACTTCGAGATTAGGGCTTGTTTAAGTGAAACCCTACAACCGAAGTTTCAACCGTGTATAATTTCGAACTTGAGCCGAAGGATGCTGCAGAAAATTGACGTGACCACATAAGGCCAGCTACTTGGAGGATCAGGGGACTTAGTAAGTTAGGTTGTAAGTACCTTAATTGGAGTTATGAGTAGTATAAGTGTAGTTACCTGCATTATAACCCTAGTTACTAAGTCCGGTGATCGAAAAAGGGATCCTAATTTAGAGAACAACCTAAATGGAAGAGTAACGGTGCGAATGCTTGAAACCGGCCTCTTCTACCGTTTCGGCCGCGTCCTTCTCGATCATGTTAATCTCATATGCATCCTTGGCAAATATCTGCACTTTGTCTTATTCGCTCCTTCTCATCCACCGACGGACATTGCTTAGCCCTTGATACTGCTGCCTCTCTTGCTCTTTTTCTTCATGCAGCTACGCTGACTGTTGGTGTTGCTACCATGTCTGCTAATCATGCTCTTGCCACTGCTTTGTACTAAGGCTACTGTTATCACCGTCGCTACTGTCGTTACTACTGCTGCCGGCCAGCACCACCAGCACCGCCAGCACCACCAGCAGAAACACCACGCACCAGCACCACCAGCAACATCATCACCGCCACCACCCCCGCCAGCACCACCGCTTGCAACACTAAGACTCCGACTACTAACACTGCTGCTGCTGCTGCTGCTGCTGCTGCTGCTTCTGCTTCTTCTTCTTCTCCGACGACGACGACTACTACTACTACGACGACTACTACTACTGCTAGCACCACCACTACTACTACTCCTCCTCGCAATCCTCCTGCTTGCTGGTGAAAAGACCAACCTGGCCCAGCATCGAGAATCAGCACACGCCAGCCAGGTGCAAGCTGCATGCAGCGGTACCACGGCCCTGGCTGATTTCTGCAGTATACGAGAGCTTCCCTCTGGGCCAAGAGGTTGGGACATAACGTTCGAACGCAAAAGTACACATGGGAGTTTCCCCCCAAAATGAGGGGTACCTGATTTTGGGGTCTTTACATTCAGGATCCTACTTGTTAGGGTACTTTATTAGGGCCCATATCAGAAGCAGCACGAAACTGATCATCCTGCTTTCGAATGCAGTAGGATTTCCAGAGTATGCTTCGACACACAACCAAACCTGAAGCTCTTTGACCCGACCCGGCACGCTTCCCGGCCGCAGACGTGACCTGACAGCCCAAACGCCAAAGGCCTCACCAACTCTGGGTTATGAGAGCCACCTTTCTCAAGGGTTGGGACACAAATACTTGTTTCGGGCACATGAGTGCGCAGAGTCACCTAAAGTCGGGCAGCTCCCAAGCAGAAGATTTTCGCAGCTGCACCTCGTCACTCAAACCCACCACTCTGCCCCTGAATGGGCCGGTAAAAACCACGAAGAGGGCTAAGGGCATCGAGTGTACAACACTTTTAACACTCTTCGCACCTGCAGTCGCCAAGCCATGGCCGGAAAACTTAAACCGAAACCCTGAACCCTTAAACCCAAATCGTTCAGGCTTGAATTGAATTTTCTGAATCGAAAGATGCAAGCCTAAGTCTCTTGCTGCGCAAGCACATCCGTACCAACAAGAGCAAACGATACTACCACAAGCCTTCTATCTACTTGCCATAATATGTTGCGAAAATCCTCAACCCCCCCGCGCCCCCCGGTAAACCCTCGCAAACTGCAAACCGCCTCCATCTTCCTCATCAAATATGAACAAGAAAGCAAGCTCAACCTCAAAACCCAAGACTGCAAAGCCTCCCTTCACCCTAAAGGCGGAGAAAGCCTAAATCCTAAACCCTAAACCCAACGCCCTAAAACCCCCAACCGACCCCTGACCGCCCCTTCAACACAACACAGCAGAGCTGCAGATGTTGGGGATCAAAGTTCGCAGCTCATCCCTGCGAGTACGCAACACAGGCCAAAAGGGCTTGCTTCAGCTTGTACAAAAGGCTTTTGGGTTGAGGGTTCAGGGTTTATAGGTTAGAGTTTCTGTAACTTTAAGCCTGAGGCTCTAAGGACTCATATCGCAGGGATATTTTGAGCCTTCGGGCGGGAGGCTTGCTTTAAGGGTGCCTTTGAGCGTCCTCTAAGACTTCCCTCAATCCTATAAGGCTTCCTTGACGGATTTTTTCAACCTTCGTTTAAGGCTTCCTTTCCTGATTCCTTTAAGGGCTCCTATAAGCTTCCTTTAAGGGCTTCGGTGAAGCTTCCGGGACTCCTCTTAGTTTAAGGGTCCGTAATGTTGGTTCAGGGGCTGAGTTTCGTTGCAAAAACGAGTTTTGGGTCCAAGGAGTTTAAGCCCCTGCGCCCTGAACCACAAGAGCATGAAAACAAAATTCGAAACCCGAAGCCAAAACACATGTTATCCCAAAGCCAACGAACACGGTACAACCCTTACAGAACCCTTATAGTGCCCGGTTACCACCATTTTCAGAGCCCTTACAGTGACCATATGCCCAAACAATCCGGTCCAACTACTACATGTTTTGCCGGTGCAGTGGTTTCGGCATCGTTGGAGTTTATGCTTTTTTCCTGGTTGCAGGCCCTACAGATTTATGTGCTCTGGCAGTGTTGTTTTGAAGCCAATACTTTGGTCTATGCAAAAGCCCTGTAGGGTATTCTGGAATTCGGCAGAGCCTCAATAGCGTACAATACGGTCAAAATAGCGCATATCGGCAACTCAAGGTGTTGAGAGCATCTTGTGTATAAAAGAAAGGTTCAAAACTAGCTTCCACCCGAAGTTTCGGAAAGTGGGACAAGAAATTATGTATTCGTTCAGTGTGGTTTTCAGATTCATGTGGAACTAGGCGTCTGGTGGACTCATCCGCGGGTGGGAGCTCTTTTCGAAGCTGTACAACCGATGAGCAGCTGATCCCAAGAAGCTCCGGGCCTGTTGAAATTGTACAGCTCGTGGTTGCCCACCTGACACGATGATTGATGGCTGCGAGCAGATCGACTAGCAGCAGCAGCAGCAGCAGCAGCAGCAGCAGCAGCAGCAGCATGAGTAGTAGCTGTCGTTTTTGCAGTAGGAGAAGTAGCTTTGGAATTTCGATGGTGATTACCAACAGTAACAGCAATAGTGGTAGTAGAAGCAACAGCAGCTGCAGAAGCAATGGAAGCAGCACCAGCAAAAGCACTAGCAGTTACTACTTCTACTTATAATACTGCTGCTGCTACTGCGATAAGGATTCCTACGACCACTACGACTACATAGTCCTGCTGCAGCACTGTAGTAACACATGCTTGTAACTCGCTGAAGACAGCTTCCAATCCGTACAGCGCCACCATGAACCACATGTCTGGGAAACCCCGATACAGCCGAAGTGTTCTTAGCCGAGGCACGAGGTGCACCACATTCGCTGGCGCAGAACGAAAGGCATCCAGCACCTCAACAGCAAGAACGATTCGGACAGAAAAACTGCTTAGGTCTGCAATCACCCTGCTTTATAGCTGTGTTCAGGTTGCGCCGTGGCGTCCTGGAGGATCATGGGCTTGAGGTCATCATCTCAGGGCAATGGCCCCTCCACGCTACCAATACTATTTCAGGGGCTCCTTATTCTAGTTATGGTATAAGGGGTCCCAAAACCCTGTTCTGATCATCAAGGCCCCTATATTAGTGTAGGGATCTGTGTGAACTCTGTAACCCAACAGTGGAATGGTCGAGAGAGTTCGGATCCTGCGAATTGAAAATCAGAAGGCCTGAAAGTGCAGAGGGCACCAAACCTGAGTGGTCACAAGTCGTCCTTTCCTTGTTCCCTGCCAGGAAGTTTGAGTCTAATACTAAACCCGAGAAATCCTGCGATCTCCCAGCCCGGGCAAGTTTTCCAGGCTCACAGTTTGAGGCACGACCCGCCAGGTTTAGGCATTTTTGCATTATGTTGAAGGAACGGGCTTGCTAAGGATTTCAGGCCGTACTCCTCGAGCCTCAACCCAAAACAGCACAAAAAATCAAGAACCCCTAAACCCTAAACCCTAACCCCTAAAAAATCAAGAACCCTACCGCCTGTACAATTCTCCCATCGGCATGAAGGCTTTGCACTGCCAACGCTCGATGACAACGTTCGTTTTTCTGATCTACAAGGCCCCTACTGCGGGAACTGCACTGCAAGTGACCCCTACCCTATAATGGGCTATATAATGGGTATAGAATGGCTATATTATGGGTATATACCTAGGGGTCCTTATTAGGGGTCCCATGCGTGTCCAAGGCTCTTGGTCCAAGGCTCGCTTAGAGTCGCGGTTGGTTTCGCACTGCCTCATTCGCCAGAGGCGAGCGCAGAGTGCAGAAGTAGGTGTCCGTTGGCTCGCCAGCAATTATATACTGTATTCCGAAGACAAAATCATGATCCCAAAACAAGTCTCGCAATCCTTCAGGACCTGAATGCCTTTTGACACCCCAAAGCTGCAGACTCCCAGACCCTAATTGGCTTCATACACTTGCCTTGGCGAAAGAAGCAGATCCGGAATCCGGCCAGCTTCAAGTAATTACGCAGGTACTATCGCTATCGGAGGATTTTTTTTTGCCGTTACTCCCACGTAAATGTTCAACCAAGGCACTGGTCGATGATGTCCTGAGCCAGAACACTCGAGATGCTCAAGGCAAACTCAATGAAGGATACGAGGTGATCAGGGATGTCGGGACAATGCTGTCAACGATTGCTGTGTCGCTGCCTGTTCGCATGTGTTGCAGCCGACCGGTAATGACGGTATGCACCGCACATTTCGCACAGCATAACCCTGCGCACACTTGAAGTGGAGCCTGCGATCTTCTCAACTTGGGCCTAGGCCCCAAGCCGATAGCCTAAACCCAAAACTGGACTTGCATGGGGTCATGCTGACCTACCTACCTTAGAGTGCGAAAAAGGATCACCAACTCCGACAATGAAGAAGACCCAACCCATAACCTTGAACCCTAAACTCTGTGCCCTGAAGCATGCAATATACGGGATTTAATCGTGCTGATCAGACTTCTTGGGTCATCTAAAGCAATTGTCACATAGTGACTGCAAAGGGGTACTATTGCTAACTGCTAGTTTTTCGCACCCCTCAATGAAGCCCTAGACCAAAAACCCTGGAACACCCCTAAACGCCCTTAGGACCTTCTACAACAGCCCCGAAAGGAACCCTTTGAACCCCGAAAGCCCCCACTCGGAGCCTCTCAAAACCGGAAGGATCCAATACACAGCAGTCATGGACTCCCCCAACTACTGACCTAAAACAACTACTCTCCAAAACCCAATACCTAATGTTCGGTCCTATGGATCCTTCCCTAAACGCTAAACCGCTAAAGCCCCTAACCCCTAAACCCCTCCTTACAGTACCCTTATCAGACCCTTAAAGGAACCCGAAGATACCTTTAAAGGAAGCCTAAGATATCCTTAAAAGGAACCCAAAAGCCTCGAACCCTTCGGGAAAAAAACCCTAAACCCTAAACAGAAATAACGGTACCACGCAGCTCCCAGATCGGCGATGAAGTCGAGGGGGGGACCTTTCTTCCAGTCCTGCTTGGAGGTTTAGGGTTCAGGGGTTCCTTTAAGGGATCTATAACACGGGGTCTTTAAGGGTAGGGGTAAGGATTTAGGGGTTTAGGGGCTTGGAGGTTTAGAGGTTTCAGGGTTTTTGCTAAGGGATCCTTTAAGGGGTCTTTAAGGGCTCCAGGGGTTCAGGATTTAGGGGTTTGGGGGGGCCTGAGGGGGTTTAAGGGTTCCCTTAAGGGATCTATAGGGGCTCCAGGGGTTCGGGGTTTAGGGGTCTAAGGGTCTAAGGGTCTAGGGTTTAGGGTTTAGGGTTTAGGGTTTAGGGTTTAGGAGTCTAAGGGTCTAGGGTTTAGTGTGTTTTAGGGTTTAGTCAGTTGTAGTTCTAAGTGGGCTTATACGTAAGGTAACGATAAGTTCTACTACACCCTAGGACTGTTCGCCCTAAACAGGAGGTTTCATGTGCTCCAGGTGCGGTTTAGGGATGTCCGGCTCCTCGACGGCCATGCGCAGCGCCTCCAGTGCGCCGCGGTAGCGTCGCTTTTGGGTCCGCCGGAAGTTGTATGCCTCGGCTTCGTAGCTTAGAGCTTTGGACTTTCCGTCCGCGCTGTATCCAGAAACCTAAACCCTAGATGCTCCAGTCATATCTCTGAAAACCCAACATGGTTGACACCCAGCAACTACATAAACCCCACATGGCAGGGTATGATCTTCGTAATGCTCAAGCCCTAGGTGGTTTAGTACGACGTCTTCATTTGCCGCTTGTTTCGTGATGAAAAGGAGAAGCGGAATTCCAGGAGGATTGTGATTGTGGCTTAATTATCACTTTTGCGCATTATTGACGGGTAATGAGACGAAAGTAGAGCATAAGTCAGCGTTGCGTGGATCGATGGATACATGCAGCAGGAGCCAGAAAGTCGGCAGGTGGCAATTGGAACGGTTGATCCGGCAACGGCCTGTCCCAGCTTTCGGTAGTTTTTTGATCGGCAACGTCCCAAACCTTCCAACTGTGCATTTACCCGACAACTGCAAACCTCACAGGGTTGGGTGCTTCGGCTTTCTATATTCCCAGCTTGCGTTTTGTAGAGCCGTGGCTCCAAGACAAACTTCTCCCGATGGAGACGAACACTCAATCCACCCGAGAAAGCATCGCCAGGAAGCCGCCTTGTATAAACCCTAAGCCAGCAGCCCTAAACCCTACACCCTAGACCCTGCCAGAGGGATCCCTCACTGCGAAGGGACACTGGGGGCTTGGGATTGAGCCGCTGGGAAGTTTCTAAAGTGGGTTCTATGGACTTTCTTGGTTTCCTTTTGATAACAAGGTTAGGTTCGGAACTTTCGGGACGAGTCGTAGCAATGGTTTGGTCGGGAAAGAACTCGGCCCCGTAAGTGCAGAGGCAGGCACATCGTCGACGTCGGCATACCTTTGTGTGCGGTCGACGCAGCTTCGGCATACAACATTTGTTGTAGTACGGATGCGCTGTGGCGATTGACACGCTATTGTAGATGAGAACTGCGACTCTGGCTAATAAAAGCCTGAGCCTTGAATCCCAAACTTAAGAGGAGCTCGCGCTTTAGGGTCTAGAGTTCGGACTTCCGCTGCTCGTTCGTGCTGCTGAAACCGCTACTATAGAGTCCCAAACCCGAACTGGAGCAAGTACGGCCCAAAGCACAAGCTTCTGCGCAGACTTTGTGACACGTTTCTCAGCACCAGCCAACGCAGTAGGGCTACAACAATAAGGATGCATGTCGTAGTAGTCAGCTACATTAATTATCTACTCAGAGCGTTCTGTCTCTTGTTGCAAGCTTGCGGCTGGACATCGGCGACGACGCCGAAGCGAGCGATAGGCTCTCTGCCTAAGGACTTACGGCACAGAAGGGCCGCCAAACCCTCACAGAGATGGGTAGAATGTCGTGTTGTGCGGTTCTTCCTAGATATCCCACCGCCGGGCTTAGGTAAATCCTAAAGTCCAAAGCCGGAGTCCAAAGCTTCTGGATGAACAAGTCCGAGATTCTAAGGCCAAGACTGTCATGCTTGAGCCGACCAATTCCTACCAGGTGTCTGTCTTGAAGACCAGCACAAGCACGACGACTTGCCGCCGATTGCGGCTGGTCTGTTGCTGCTGCTGCTGCAACTGCTGCTCCCCCTCCTGCTGCTCCTGCTGTTACTGCGACTGCTACGCTTCCGCTCGTCCTCCTATATACTACTACCGCTACTACTACTCCTCCTCCTGGTGGTGGCTGTGTTGCTGCTTCGACTTCTGTACTACACTAGGTACCACGACTACGACAAGAATGGCAAATGTCCAGGACCCGAAGTAGCGCCAGAACCCCTCAGACTTGAACTGCAAGGAAAATGCCCCAAACCCTAAACACCCTAATGCCCCCAAAGCCCAAGCCCAGACCCAAAAATGCCCCAACAACAAACAGACCGCAACACGAACCTTGAAAGAAACCATTCCCTCAAATCTTGAAAGATGCCCTAGACCCTAAATCCCTCAACCTTGAAAGACACCCTGAATCCTAAACTCCCAAACCTTGAAAGAAATCCCTACATCCTAAACACCCCAAACCTGGAAAGACACCCTAAGCCCTAGACCCCTAAATCTTGAAATAAACCCTACAATGAAAATGACCCTTAAACCAGAAATCTTGAAAGAAACCCGAAAATGACCCTTCAACCCGAACGGCGTCTTTGCTTTGCTCTTTTATGTCGGGAGACCGGCTGCCCAGGCGAAGGATGGCCGCCGCCAGCGCAACATGCAGGCACCTGACATTGAGGATTGGGTTTAGGGTTCCTCTGAGGGATCTATAAGGGTCCTATAAGGGTTTAGGGTTTAGGGGTTCAGGGTTTAGGGGTTTTGGGGCTTAGGGTTTTTTTGGAGTTTTGGGATTCGGGGGTTTGAGGATTTTGGGGCTGAGGGCTCCTTAAGGGTATCATAAGTGTAATAGTTCAGGGTTTTTGGGGTTTTGGAGTTTTGGGGGTTTGGGTTTTTGGGATTGGGGGTTTTGGAACTTTGAGTTTGTTAAACATATCATGAGGGTACTTGATAAGGGAATTGGGGTCTAGGGATTGGGGGTTGTGGTGTTTAGTGTTTACCACTCAGAACATCCCAGTTTAGGGTTTAGGGCTTTGGGGTTTAGAGGTTGATGAGCTCAGGGCTTAGGGCTTTTTTGTATTTTATAGGGACTTTGAGGGTTTTTGAAGCGTTCTTACCAAAGTTTTTGTTTACACCTGACATTCGGTGTTGCTAAGGCTCTTGCAGAGCTCTTATATGTTTGGGGTCCGGAGCTCATCGTACCAGGACCTCTCAAGTGCCCTTTAAAGGGCTCTGATATTTCTCATTAAGAGGTACTTTGGGGCTACAATAAAGGGTAGTTGCGGGGTCTAGCTAGGGCTTAAAGATGCTTAGGGTTTAGGGTTCGGGGCTTGCGGCTTTGGGATCTGGGGTTTCAGTTCCGGGGATAGGGACCGCCGCGGCCCAATCATTGTCAAGGCATCCAGACGCTTAACAGATTCGGCCCATAGTGGACCCATAAGGTACATCTGCCGCATCGTCGCAAATAATGCTCCTCGTACCTCCTACCCCTACTACACCAATCTGTGCTTCTACTTCTGTAGATTGACAGTGTTACGGTTGTGGGTCTAGACCTCTTGCGTGGAACCGTACCCAGAATGCTATTCTAAGCACGCAAGCTGGAGACACAAAGGTAAGACATCTGTCAAAACGTTGCAAAGCCGATAGAATCTCCGATAGAATCTAACCGGCACAAAAACATCTGCGATGTACGATGATAGCAATGAATAGCAATAACGAAAGTAGGAAGAACCATGATACCCGATATCCCTTATATAGTTCTCGTTTTGTTACGCTGCGTATACCATACCCGAAAACTGAGTGCGCCACCTGCGGCCACCCCAGCAGCACCGGCGGCTGCACGACGTAACCAGTGCTGGGGGGGCATCGCAACGACCACAAGTCTTCTGCAGCTTCCCTGAAACGCCGTGGAAGGGTTGCCCAAAACCCTGAGCCTTCAACCCGAAACTCAAACTAGAGTCGGGTTCTGGACAAACTTCTAGGAAGCCTTCACGACGGATCCTTACGGCAAGTAGACTATGCAAAAATCACAGGCTATGGGTGTTCTGGGGGCATTCGGAAGTTTACGGCTTCGGGCTTAAGCCGTACGGTTTAGTGTCCGGATTAGGGGTGTGCGGTGTTGAGGCAAAGCTCTGTATCCTATTCGGAAAGTGGCTCTTAGGCTCTTTGCTTTGAGCAACAGCCTCGCGAGGCGGCAAAGCGACAGAAGCTATTGTCACAAGGCGTCCCTGGATGCTGAGCTGGTGATGCTGGTGACTGATGGCGATGATCATAATGATGCTGCAGGTGATGACGATTATGGTACCGATGAAATTGAAGATGATGAAGGCACAGATTTTTGATGCGTTCACGATCGTCAGGCGCAGATAGGTAGCCATGGTGGGCAGCGATGATGCTACGAGTCCCGAGGACATGGCTTTGTGCGATTCCCGCATGTGCTTGCACCTTAGTTTCGCTTGTGGGAGCCTTACAGGCAACCACGGCTCTAAACATGTATCAGTGTCCGTAGTACGGCTACCCGCATGTTCCCTACTGTGTTTATGGTATATATACTATACCACCACCCCCCCCAACCCTGTTCTTGCCAAAATCCTAGACCCCGAAGACCGTACCCTCTGATCCCTGCAGCTCAGCCGAACCCTACATCCTGGAGCCTAGTTTGAGACTTTCAGCGCATACCTCAAACAGTAAACCGCAAACCCCCCAAACCCTGAACCCAAAACCCTAAACCTTAAACTCCTAACCCCTATAAATCCTAAGCCCCTTAACCCTGAACCCTAAAGGCCTAAACTGACTAAACCCTGAACCCCTAAACCCTAAACCCCTGACCCTACGCCCTAAACCGCCAAACCCGTATAGTATAGAACCCCCTTATAGATCCCTTAAGGCCCTAAAACCCGTATAGTATAGAACCCCCTTATAGATCCCTTAAGGCCCTAAACACCCAAAACCCTAAACCCTAAACCCTAAAACCCTAAAACCCTAAACCCTAAACCCTAAACCCTAAACCCTAAACCCTAAACCCCTAAACCCTAAAACCCTAAACCCTAAATCCCTAAATCCCTGGACCTCTGAGGCGGCGTGACCCCAAACCCTCAAAGCTCTAAACCCCTAAACCCCAAGGCACTAAATCCCCTGAACCCCTAAACCCTATACCCTTAAACCGTCGGTTTAGGGTTTAGGGGTTTAGGGTTTAGGGTTTAGGGTTTAGGGAACTTAAACCCCTAAACCCTAAAGCCCTATAAACCCCCAACCCCTAAACCCCCCAAATCCTAAACTCGAACCCCTGAACCCTGAGGCGGCGGTCGAGGGAGGAGAATACCTGCTCCGAGGACATGTGCCCAGCAACGCTCCGAAGGGCCTCCGGCTGCAGCCCTCTGGGCTTTAGGGCTTCGAGTTTAGGTGTTTAGGGGTTGGGGGTATATAGGGTTTAGGATTTAGGGGATTTAGGGGTTTAGGGGTTTAGGGTTTATGGGTTTAGGGTTTAGGGGTTTAGGGGTTTAGGATTTAGGTGTTAGGGGTTTGGGGGTTTAGGGGTTTAGGGGTTTAGGGTTTAGGGTTTAGGGGTTTAAGGGTTTAGGGTATAGGGGTTTAGGGGCTTAAGGGTTATAGGGGTTTAGAGTTTACTCAACTGTCTGGTTCGTAGTAGGGCATGGGGGAATGGATCCCTATAGCAGTCCCTATAATAATCCCCAATAATAGTCTCCATGCTTCAGGGCTTCGAGTTCTGAGTTTAGGGTATCGAAGATAGAGTCGAGGATCTAAACCCTCTGCAAACGTATGTCGCAAGGGAGTGAACCCAGCAAAGTTTAGGGTACCATAAGGCTCTAGAGCTTAGCGTCTTAGGGATTAGAGTTTAGGGTTTCCGGTTTAGGACTTCTTGGATCTTCTTGGGTTGAGGGTTTTCGGGTTATGCAGTTCAGGGTTTAGGGTTTAGAGTTTAGCCTTTCTTTTATGCTTTAGGGCTTAGAGTTTGAGGTTCCTTTTATAAGGGTACCATGATAAGGGTACGGTAAGGCCTGTTGCTTAAAATGCAGTGGGGCTCAAGGCTCAATTAGAGTTCAGGGCTTTTTGTTGAAGTGTGATGCAGCCTCCACTTTTTTCCCAGAGGCATCTTTTTCGCAAGGGAGTTTTCAAGAACCAACCGCTAAGAATTGGGACCCTAGGCGTCGAGTCAGTCTAGCGTTTAGGGTTTAGGGGTTTAGTGTGGTTTTGCTTGTCAGATGGGGTAGGAAGGCAAAGAACTTGGAGTAGGGAGATTATGTAGGGAGAAAGGGGTTCTAGAGTTTTCGGCTATGGCGTTTTGGCAGCTCGGAATCCGCAACACATCGACTCGTGGGTCCGCAGGCCTATAAGCCCGTCCTGCATTTACTGCAGAAACCCCGTGCAAAGCCCTCTTGCGAAGCAGAGCTCGAGGAAAGGTGCAAGTATGCTAGGAACACCTGCTAAACTCTAAGCCCTGAACCCTGAACCCTACCTGGACGGTGAAAGTATGTAGAATATTGGCCTTTTATCGGCGTTGGGCAACTATTTCACCTATTTGTGAGGCGGTTTTGAAATAAGTCCTAAAAACCCTAAACCACCTAAACCCTTAAACCTACAATTTAGTCTTGCAAGCCTGATCATGTTTAGGTAAAGCCTAAAACCCCCAGACCCGTAAGCCTGAACTTAATCTTTTGAGCCTTATAATCTAAGGTTAGAAGTATGGGCCCCTGACATGGACCCTCAGGCCTTTTTGAGGGAGTTTGAGGGACCCTTAAGAGTCTATATAGGGTACATAGTAGGTATTTAGGGATCCCACTAAGGGCCCATACTTGGGGCCCATGGTTTCAACCCTTGATGTAATGGAGCCTCCAGATCTAAACCCTTAAACCTAAATTTAGTCCTTCAAGCCTTATAATGTCCAGGTAGAGCCTAAAAACCCCAAACCCTTAAGCCTAAACTTAGCCTTTTAAGCCATACCCTATCCCTCCAAGGACCTCATAGTTAGGGCCCTAGACCCCTTAAGGACCCCATAATAAGGTCCCTGGAGGCATAGGGTAAAAATGGAGCCTCCAGAGCTTTCTGCCGGACCATCAGCTCCTCGACGTTGCAGAGCTCCTGCAGGGTTTGGGATCTCAAGGCTGCAGGGCTTCAGGGGTTTAGGGTTCCTTTAAGGGATCTATAAGGGGTCTATAAGGGTAGGGTTATGGATTTAGGGCTTTAAGGGTTTAGGGGTTTCTTTAAGGAGTGTAGGCTGCAGGGCTTCAGGGGTTTAGGGTTCCTTTAATCCAAGGGTAAAGGGAGGGACCCTTAATAAGGACGCCTAGGTATATACCCTTAATATAGCTATTATATATACCCATTATATAGCCCGTTATAGCGTAAGGGTCCCATTAAGGGTCCCTACTATTCCCCTTTGATTTAAGGGATGTATACGGGGTCTATAAGGGTTTAAGGCGTAAGGTTTAGGATTTAGGGTTTTGGGGCAATTGGGCGCTTTTTGAAGGGCTGAGGGTTTAGGGCTGTGGGAGTTCAGACTTGACGGTTTTGGGGCTTCAGGGCTGACGGCTTTGGGGCTGAAAGGGTTTTAGGCCTTGGGGTTTAGATCAAGGCTTTAAAAGCGGGTTGAAAAGGATTCGGAGAATTGGAACGGTGCTATCAAGGCTGTGCCAAGGCGGCATAACGGGCGTATTTGGGTATCTATATAAAGCGATCTATGCATGTTTCATACCTGGAGTTGTCTGTACCGGTTGAGCGATAATCTCTATCCACATTATATGTACACATACTCGAAAAGCTATAACCGGACTCCGATTTCAAAACTCTACAGCATAAGCTTGAAACCCTATATTCGAGCCTCAACCTTGAGCCCCGGCAAAGCTCACAAAACACAAAATCGAAGCCAGAAGCCTTAGCTTACCTTTGGTTAGTAGCGAATGGAAGAATGGTAGTAGTAGTAGTTATGATTGTACCCCATTCCTCCATTCCTTGCTAACCAAAGGTAAGTTAACGAATGGCCCGGGCTGTTGAACCCGAGGCCGGCTGCTGTTCACGGAACTCAGCTTTGAGCCGTAGAGTTTGGGGTTTAAGGGAGTAGTCCTTAATTGAGGAGTATACCTCAAGTCATAATAGGATCCTAATATGATTTAAGGTACGTTCCATAATTAGGGGATATTTAAGGGAGTTTTGCTGAAGTTATGGCGACGAGGCCAGCATTTGGAACAAGCCGAAGATTCAGTTTCTGCGGGTCCGGGTACTTAAACAGCGTACACACCAAAGTCAGGCCCAGAAAAACTCAGAAAAACTCCCACCGGAGCCGAGTTACCTGCTTTTCAAGCACTTGGGCCCTTCGGGGCAGACAAACATCGGCAACAGATGCGCTGAACCCTCGATCCAAACCCCCAAACCTGGACAGCGGGTTGAAAGCTCCCCAGATTACCCACAATCTCCACACCCTACGCTGCGGCTTCAGCTCCATAAATACTAGGTTACGAGTCTGTCATGAACTATGTAACAGGGTTTTGGAACCGTTATACTACATTTACAATAATCGTGTTGGTAATTACTTCGGCCCCTATAGTACACCCCAAGCAAGCAGCAAGCAGCCTCCAGGGGACCTATCAGCGTGTGGCAGTAGGATGGGCCGCCGACCAGGTCCACGCCCTTCCTGGCAACGACAAAAAAGGATGGGCCTAAACGAAACCCGAAAGCCTAAAGTATCCCGACGCCCGAAACCGAAAGCCAAAAGAACGGATGGGCTTAAACTAAGCCCGAAAGCCTGAAAGTAGCCCGAAACCCTAAACCGAAACCCCCAAAATAGCCCCACATAGGGCGATAGAAGCATCATACAAAGAAACGCATGCAGCACCCGAAAGGTTTTTCAGG